ATTATATTTCGAAAACACCATAGTTTCCATGCAGCTCATACCATATTATTTTGTTGTATTATTTCCGCCACACCTTAAATGCCGGTCCCTGAAAATATTGTCTGACATAAACCGGTCCGTGGGGCAAAAAAGGTTGGGGACCCCTGCACTAGATGTCATACAGCAAAAATAAAAAATAAAAAATCATTATTTCAGAGACTCCACACACACACACACACGCACACACGCACACTCCTGTCTGACTGATTTCAGAGCATTTAGTCATCAGCGTGGCAGACAGTTTAGCCCCTCTTGGCAGATTGGCAATGAGTCAAAGTGTCCAAATTCTTAATTGTGCGCCCTAACGTGTCAAATGTGCCTTCACAAGCCAATGAGTCTCCCCCCAAAGCTTGCAGGTGAGACACGGAAGTCGTGCGTTGGATATCGGAGGCGTGCACAGTTTGTAACAAGCTCTCATGGGGCATGAACATACCCCAGACATGCGCTTACCTGCCCCGCTGTGCAACACCTCCTTGGTGCACGGCAACCAACATCATCTTCTCGCCCAATATTTTCATTAGCAGTTTTTTTGTTCTGGGACGCAAACGCTTCTTACACACAATCTTAATGTTTAACAACAGTGCTCTGCTAAGAGTCAACCACGAGCCGTTGACAAAGCAAAACAGACAGATTCACTTCATTTTGACTGAAGAGGGGCAAGTTAAGTCAATGCAGAATCTGAGAAAAATTGGACAGTAAAAGTACAGCTTTGCTTGTACAAAAGTGTGGTTGTTATTGCATGGCTGAATAAACTGTTCAAAAACGTTTAAACTGTGCATTATGTTACAGCGGCTTACAGTAACAAATCTATTTTTCAGCAGGGGTTGAACCAATTAGTTGACAAATCAACTTTTCTACTCTGCAGCAACGTTTCATTTATCGGTATTGTATTTTTGTGCCTTGAAAATTCAAATGCTGAATTGATACTCTTCTGTACAGTAGTTCAATAAAAACAGGCATAGGCACATATTTTCTTCTTGTGTAAAATGACAATTTGGCTATACGTCTGGTTTGGAAGAGTGCAGTCCTATGTGCCCCACCAGTCACACTTCAGAAAAAAATGTGGCCTCCTCCATCGTTTAACTTGCCCATTCCTGGCATAGAAGATCGACTTTCATCACATTCTCGTCAACTAATAAAATTCTGTAGTCGTTCAACCCCTACTCTTTGGGAATAAAACCTCTGGTTTCTTTTTAATGAACATTATTACTACACTTCTATAGATCAACGCTGGTCATCATGGTGGCATTTGGAGAGTCCAATATTAAAATTTTTGAGAAATACTATTTTACCTTGAACAGCGGCAACTTTTCATTGTTATCCAACGCTTAACAATGCACAATCTGCAAGTAAAAGTACAGCTGGCAGAGATCTTTAAGCACACTTTTAAAATAATCCAAACATTGCAGAACAAGAGAGCATAACAAAAAAATGCTACAAACGGTAGAACGGTGTGGAATAAAGCCTGTTTTTTTTTCCAGACAAAATGGATTTATACAATCACAATATACATCCATAATCATGCCCAAAGATGTACATCTTAAAATGTACCTCCAGTCATCGTTGTTTACCGGTGTAAAAAGCAGGACGACAGCAGATAACATTGAGGAATAACTATGCTATGCTGAAATACTTGTTTTGCTGTTCTTTTAAATTTACACCGATTCAAACTAAATTAAGTGTGCCGTCATCTATAGGTCAACTGTGGAATTACACCTAACAGAAATGAGTTACATCAAAATACTGTCATTAACTGAAAAAACTGAAGGGGGCTACTCTATTTTATAAAAACAGAGAAGTTTTTCCTAAAATTGCTGCTTCAATCAAACAGACATTGTGCTGCTCCATCTAATGTGTGCATCTTGGCCACCTGGGGGCAGTATAATCCAGACATATGCATGTACTGTTCATGGAGACAGTCTCTGTTTCTCAGTACACTTCTAATATTCTTCGTTCTTTGCCGAGGATATAGCAATGCGAACTATTCACATGCCAATGCCAATTTATTTGTTTGTTAGCATTAAGCTAACAAACAAGCATTACACATGAAGCTAACAAACAATTGTTAGCATTAAGTGGACATTCCAAAGACAAAGCTATACGGTCATTTTAAACGCATCTCATTTTTGAAGAACTGTTCGCTACCTGCCAAACTGCTGCGTCTTGTGAAGTGAGCAGAGTTTGCTACCACCATTCAGCGCTCTTATCTCAAGGTTTGGTTGCAAGTCAAAGCGAAAAACTGGCCGAACGACGACCATTGTACTTGACACTGGAGCTGCAACGGTTAATTAATCGACAACTAATTGATTGTCAAATTAATTGATTATTATTTCTGAAAATCACTGAATCCTTTAGAAAGCTTTAATTTAAAATTGTCCAAATGCTTGCAATTTCAGCTAAAACAGCAACTAACGATGAGCCAAGACTTCTGCACAAGTATCAAGCTTTCTCATTCCAATCACAAGCGACCAGTCTAAGGTGTCAGCTGTGATAGGCTCCCCACATTTACGTATCGAGATTGAATACCTGAAGGCTGTGAGCATCCTAGCAGGGCCGACAGACGGATGCCGTCGGCGACAGTTTGAAGGTCCTGCCTACCATCAAAGGCTCAGGCTGAGGAGCTCTGTTGTTCATTGCTGCCTTGTCTTCCTTCTGTCTTCCCTGCTCCCTTCTTTTGGAAAACAAAACCTTCTTCCACTGCTATTGCTTGCTCGGAGAAACAACAACAAAAAAAGGTTAGCCACTCACAATGCAGATCCCCTGACTGTGTCTGTCTCTCTACTCACTCCTTTCTTCCCTCCCCTACTTTGGCCGTCCCTCTCTCTCTCTCTCTCTCTCTCTCTCTCTCGCTCTCTCTATCACTCACTTTCTATAACTGTTGGATTCTAACTGGCTCTCATTTTCCTCCTCCCTCTCCTGCCTTCCCTCTAACTTGATAAAGGTCTCGCTTGCAGTTGAGCACCTGCCCGAGGAGGGAGCGGCAGTGAGGAATCAGATATCAGGTGAAGAGGCTTGAGTGACCTTTGCACACATTTTCATCCATTCTGTTGTGTTACTGAGAAAAGTTCAGTTTCGTACATTTGACTTCCTGGCACACTTACGTGGCACACAGACTGGCACAAGTTGAAGTCGGTGGGAGGGCGAGGGAGGAACATTTCAGACAAACCTGCAGAGGGTAGGCTTTGCAGCAAACAGGGGTGCCACCACATCCCATAATTTGACATTCCATCAAAGTAAGACTAAGTAAGGATTTTTATTGGTCTATTGAAAGTTTAAAGGGTAAGGTGCTCAATGTGCATGTAAGGTTTTTTTTGGGGGTGGGGGGCGGTTTGTGTGTGTTTACTGATAGTATATTGGACCTCACATACTTGCAGTTTGGTACCCACTGATTCAGAGTTTTAAATAAAATGTGTCTAGAGAAAAAAAAGAAAAGCCGATCCCAATTTTTGATGGAAAACAATTTCTCTGTGTTTTATTTTCCAAGAAATTTCGGAGTAAAATACGTATAATTTGTCATGCATTTATAACAAGTGTATTTGTACATGGACTTTTACTATGCATGGGTTGGCTCAGTCCCGATCTTCCACCATCTGTATTCCTGCATTGATAGCTGAATGAATTAACGCAACATCATGTTGATTCACATGCTCGATGTTTCACATCATAATAAAATGTATTTGTTGATAAAATCAGGAGCACTCGTTAAATATCTTGGAGTATCCTCAGCCACCAAGATGATATACAGCTATTTAAATCCACAGTTTATCTGATTGCAAGAGACTCCCTTAATTTTGAAACACACCTTGCTGTTGCTGTAATCATCTTCAGTCTGTTTTAAGGATACTATAAGACCCATTTGTCTTTTTTTACATTGGTGTGTGCACGTATCACGCAACATTTTTTACAAGCTTTTTTGGGGTTTTGTTTTACTGCCTGTATGAACTGATTCAAACATTCTATGTACTCTTCTCCTCAATTATCATGAAATCATAAACATGTTCAAACATAGCAGAAAACAGGGTAAAATGCATACTTGAGTGACATTATTTCATTATCTCGAACTTGGCTGTGACTGTTCTGTTGATATGATGCAACAGTAGCGCAGCTGAAACCCCTCGCAGCAATGGTAAACATATATGACACCTCCCTCTGGTGGTCAAAATGAAGATAACACAAAAATGGAAAAAAAAATCAAAAAAGTACACAGCAGAGAACAGACTCCAAGTTGAAGCCCAATGTCATATATACACATACATACATACATACATACATACACACAACACATATATACAGTACATACACATACATATATATATAATATATATAGCCCATTTTATATTTATTCTACAAATATATTGATAATGCTATATTTTATATTGCACTTATATTGCACTGTGTACTTTTCTTTTCTGAAACATATATTTTGTGCAATGAAACACTTTGTTCCCCCCTGCCCCCACCACCCAATTTTGCTGCTGTAGACTGCAAATTTCCCCAGTGTGGGACAAATAAAGGTTATCTTATCTATATCTATATAGAGTATATATACGGTGTATATATAAACAGGGAAACAGATCTAAGCTAACCACAGCATCTACCTATATCGCATCTATGCGGCAGTGTTTTCACCATTTATGCAACACATATTTGCCAAATATTATTTGGACATAAACAATGCCGCAACACGTGCACAGACCATAAAACAATACTCACAAACATATATTCTTACTTTGTATATCCTCTGCGAAGAAGGACAAATATCAGTTGTGATGTCTCCTCTGGCTCCATGTACTGACTTGGGGCAAGAGGCGATGTATACCCTTAAAGTAGAAAATAATGGCCCTTCTTTACACACACTCTCACCATCTGTTTCTATTCAGACGTGCGGTTCCATTCCATAGGCACAGCACTGTAATGCAACATTGTCACAAAAAAATAATCATTAGATTTACGGTAAATGATGACATTTGTAATGCAAATGATTTACACACAGTGTTAATTATTCGCTTTATTTTGTTCTGCCACCAGGTTATTATTTTCATATCATAAGCACAGTTGACGGTATTTAAAAAAACAACAACACTGGCATGTGCATGTTCTTTTTCATTAGTGCTATATTTACGTCCCAATAAAATAGCGCAACTTAATACACATTTTACTTGCAACAAAAAACAAAACAAAACAAAAAAGATTAAGATGTCGTCCATCATTGGCCAGCAATGTTTGACTGAAGGTTGACACAAATTCTTTACACTTACCACATCTGAACTTCACGATCTGCAACTTTTTTTCTCTCTGCTTCTCAAAAAAAAAAAGGGGGAATCCCGCATATGAGATTTCTTTAAACACCGACCAGCCCAAACATTCCAACAGTAAACGTTTAATTTTGATTAACACTTAGAAAGGTACGATTGTAACAATATGCTCATTATTGTGACACATTATACCAAAGCTGAGCCCAATACGTTTGACTCTGCAGTGTTATCAAAACTAGCAACAGCTCTCAGTAGTTGTACACCACTGCAAACTAACAGCGTTCATAATGCTGTAGCCTCTTGGTGTATATATGATGGAAAATAAAGTGCGCTTGGGTACCCGAACGCCATACACTGCCAAAAAATGACATGCGAGGTCAAAATTGGTCAAACATTTTTGCTCCTTTTGTATACACAAAACAACTGTTCTGAACTCCAATGAACGACATGGAAAGTAAAAGAATCGCAATAAAATGCAGCAAAGAAAAAAAAAGTGAGAAAGCGGTGAATTTTGGATGCACAAGTACCTTTTTCACCTGAGATTAGATTTGTTTGTAAAAGGGCAGCAGAGGCAATCAAGTGGCACTTGGAAAAGATTAAAGCACTCGACATGACGGCACGTGTAAGTGAAATATCTACAGTAGATATGAAAAGTCTACACACACCCATTTCAAAACTTTTCCCACAAATAATGTGACATAAATTCTATAACTCAATGAAAACAAATCTTTCAGATGTTAACTAAAAATAAACAACTGAGATAATGTGGTGGCACAAAACCATCAAGGTTCTGCTTGGAAGAAGAAAAAAAAAGCCTACTAGAACATTTGAAATGTATCTGGGGTTGATTGGAGGCACCTGTTATGTTGGCACGCGTGTGCTGAACTTGGACGTAACTTCAGTTTGGATTTGATTGGTTCATTCTGAACACCGCCACAAGCTGTTTCGAAGAGGGTGTGCATACCGCCGCAACTGCTTTATCTCAGTTATTTATTTTTATTTCCTTTCTTGAAAGGATAACATACTTTTTAAATTGAGTTCAGATTCAGATTCAGAAAACTTTATTTATCCCAGTGGGGTAATTAGAGTTGTAAAGGTTGTAGGTCACATTAATCGTGTAAAAAGTTTTATCTTGATCTTATTTTTTGATATCACAGGAACCTTTAATTGGCATTTGGTTTACATTTGTCGTATTGACCACAATGTTTTCCTAATGACAGAAACTCGAGTTACAAGATAAAAGCATTTTTTTGTTTGTGGTTGTAGAGACAAAAAAAACCCAAAACAAAACAAGCAACAACAATTTAAAAAAACAAGTGAATCATATCATGATTTTGTGCTATTGCACCAAGGTCTGCCTCACAATAACACAATCATCAAACCAACGCCGACCAAAATGCTACCATTGGTACCGCGAGGAAAACAATGTGCAAGTCTGCATGGAAGCCATCTGCACATGTCAAGTGCACTTTTAGGCTTTCATCATCAATTTTTCGTTACCCCTTACCTCAATTCAAATAAATCTGAATGTCGTAGAAAAGTTCATACCAGTAGTTGACCTCAAACAGTGAAATGTGGCTAGGTATTGATATATGGAGTCATTAAACATGGAAAAAACATTTCAGAAGGCCAACTCCTACCTACCATCTTCATTTCTTGAGATTGTGAATCTCCATTAGCTGTGAAGAACAATCATTGTTACTATGACTATGTGTGTGTAGTTAATCTTCAACTTTTTGAATAGAAGCATGAAAATACTGACATTTAATAAGATGCGCCAATATATGCACTACACACCAAAAGTTAGCTTTCAGCGAGACTTCTGGATTAACCTAAAATGATCTACAACCTTTACAGATGAACTGAGTTTGACCTTTTATTAACTTTTGAATACGCATGTCCAACTGTTCAATGTATGAGTACTTTTTTCACAACAAAATATCAGCATCTCAACAGTAAATATCTGACTTCTGCCGTTCTCCATGAAAGCGGACTGATTATCTTTTTGTTTTTTCTGAATAAAACATTTTCAAAGACTGACTTTTACTTTAGAAATCATCCATCCATCCGTTTTCTTATCTGCTTATCCTCACAAGGGTTGCGGGCGTGCTGGAGCCTATCCCAGCTGTCTTCGGGCCGTAGGCGGGGGACACCCTGAACTGGTTGCCAGCCAATCACAGGGCACCCACAATCAAACCTCGGGACAAATTTGGAGTGCCCATCAACCTGTCATACATGTTTTTAAAATGTGGGAGAAAACCGGAGAACCCGGAGAAAACCCACGCAGGCACGGGGAGAACATGCAAACTCCACTGCACTGTGAGGTCGACGTGCTAACCACTGAACCACCGGGCCGTCATTTTAATAGTTGCTTCAATGAAATAAAATAATTTTCATTTTCATAATCAGTTGTGCTGCGTTCTATTTTTGGAAAATCATCATTCATCAACACGCAGTTGGTGTGAGTGGGTACTCACGGTATGACAAAAAGGTACTATGGATCAAATAAATGACAGATCAATCAATTAATAAAACAATTATTAGCTGCAGCCCTAATATCATTTCTGATTTAATTTAACCAGGAAACTTATTGGTCCACTCATGGATCAAATGCCTGTTTTGAATTTTTCCTGTTCAGCTCCTTGTAAGAGAACAGCATGTTGTGCAAAAAGTAAGAAATACGAAATACTTGCACCTATTAGGGTGGAAAGCTTAGAAAAGGTCATTTAAGCTCACCTGGAAAGGTTAGAGTGCATTTCAGAAGGAATGTGAAATTTCACCCAAAAGCCAAATCACCCTTTTTTTGAGAGTGGTGTGTATTGTATATGAGGGCTGACATCAGCATTGATGTACAAGCAAGGAAACATCCTGTAACAGTAAATCAGTGACTATAGGTCATGGAGAATAATTTTATTTGGCTGTGCCAGAAGCACTGGTTGCAGATCATTGTCCTTATATGAGTGTGTTGACCCATCACTGCCAGTAGTGTACATTCGAGCGTGTGTGTGTGTGTGTTCATATGTCTGCATGTGTCAGCACCAAGGCTCGCGCTGCGCGCGGCCCCGTGCCAAACTGTCTGCCCGCTGCCAGGCGCTCTTCATTAAGGCCAGGCCTTCGCCGCAGTGCTTCTGCACTGACGGCTCGCAAACCTCCCTGTGGGGGAGTGCCACCTGTGGACAGTCAAGACATGCTGGTAAAAGGACAGAAGTGCACAAGAGCATCGTCGGTTGGACATCCTAACCAGTCATCCACCCTGCCGCCAATTTAATACAGTCATGTAGAAACAAAAGAACAAACAAAACCAGTACTACTACTTCGTCTACTCCTGTGACACAATAACATGCCGGAATATGAGTTATTTTTTAGAGAGGATATCCCTGCAAGTATTGTTGTATAATCTGCACCTCCCACATGTGGAGTTATTTTTGAGTCACTGTTGTTTATGTGTCCTATTCATGTGCCTGTTTCAGAGTTATTTTTTTTCAATCCCATACTGTGGCCCTCCCTTATAGGAAGGAGCAAAGATTGGAAATTGTTTTTGTCACCTCCCCCTTCCTTCTGTTTTTGTTTTTCATCTAATAGAAAATCAGGAGCCGTCTTTGGTGACCTGTCAGCCTTCTCCTTTCTGTCTCTCTCTGTAGGTCATTGTTTTTTATGTCTCTTGGACAGATTTTAAGTGTGATGTGAATTTTCGTGGCTGTGTACATGTGCAAGTGCAACGACAAATTTGATTCCATTCCGTTAATCTACATGTGTTGAGCCACCATTTCTGTTCAAACATCCGCTGCTTCCAAAACTATCAACGTGAACGTTAGCATATGAGTGGCGTTTGCTTTTTTTTTTTTTTTTTTTTGCATGAAGATAAGTAGGCTTTCCTAAGGCAAAGCTATGTGGTTGTTTTGAATACACAAGGTGTATTCTTTTAGACAGTAAACCTTGACTGGGAAAGACATTCAACAGCTTGAAGCCTCTTTTTAGATGAATTGCCTAACTGCCAAGCACAGCGAACAACATGCAAAATCCCTATTAGAAAGTAGGCTTGAATATCTGAACCCTGAACCTCAGAAATGTGAGGCAGACATGCTAACCACTCATCCATGCTTCTGCATGTATAAGAAATATTAAAAACAAATAACAGCTCCTCCAAACCTACCTGGAAGATGCTTCTCCACGCGCTGTCCAAAACCTCCAGCAGTCTGTCTCTCTCCTCACACCCGCTGAAATACAAGACCCACGGGGGCAGGAAGCTGTCACGATCTGTAGCAAACTCCTGCCCGTAAAACAAGCAGAAAATGTACAACAGGTGATGAAAGCTAATGCGGGAGGACATATTCAAGGCATTTGATACAGTCATAGACGTTCAAGTTTACTCACAATGACACAGTACTCCACGTCAGCCTCCAGGCTGACGGCCTCCACGTCGCAGATGTCGGCGCTGCCCAGCAAGCGGAAGAAGCTTGTCTGGCAGTCCTGATGGCAAGTCAGCAGCCTGCTGTCCGTCACAACCAGACAACACGGGATACACGGGATGGGGGCTGCACCTTGGGGGATGACCTGGAGGAGAACAACTCGTAGATAAATCATCCTGGCACTCTGGCTCAAGTATGGCGAACCCCCACCTAGTCAAGTTTCTCTATTCACAAAAACACCTATTTGTGTTTTTTTGGTAGGTTCTGTGAAACAGCCTAAGATGCTGCCAAAGCTGTGGCTACACTGGAAAGGAACGCAGTAATTCTAGGACTAGTAAATACTTTTACAACAGTTTTTGGGAGGTTGACGATGGTTGTCATTCGTGGCAAATAATGGTAAATGACCACACATGAATACAAAACGTTTGATTGATTTAAAAAAAAAAAAAGTTCTGTCCTTACTCCTTTGGAGACAGACTGACAGAGAAGCTGCATCCAATCAGCCATGTCCTGTTCGTTGTTGGCACTGAGCTCCAGTGGGGGGCGCTCTGTCAGGATGACTTGAAAGGCATGGGGACGCTCTGTGCTGTTTGAACGACGGCACCCTCCGCAGTATTCCCCCCTGACATAAGAAGGAGAGACATGGGATACATGGATAGTGAGCATCAATACCTCTTTTCACCCTGCGGTGGCTTAAATTTTTTTTAAAGTTACCCCATAGTGACGGAGAGCACAGGAGTCACATCAGTCCTTTCTGCATAGAGGTACAGAATTCCATTACTAGAAGAAAACAAAGTCATTAGAATGCTGACAATGTCACATAAATTTGTTCAAAAAGAAAAAAAAAAATTCATGTTCATGTGAAAATGTTTTGCATATGCTGAGCACATGACAGGATTTTTAATCTACCATTAACTGCTTGGTAGACAGTGCGGGCTGTATGCTTATTGTGTGTACACTTCTATTAAGCAACATCACGCAAAGGAAATACGGGAGATTTCTATATGAACCTGAGGACAAGGTAGCAGCTTTTCCACAGCTCCTTGCCCAGGTATGTGGAGCCAGCCCGGTACTGCATCATCCCTTCCTTAGCGCTGGACGGTAATTTCAAGTTGGGCAAGCTCGCATCCATAGGATCCTCCCAGTGGACCAGTGAATATAGATGTATCGAAACTTCAGAAACCTGGAGATACACAGAAGCACTGCCTCAGATACACATGAAAGTTGAATATTTTTTGAGTATTCATTGAATACTCACGGCAAATTATTCTTATTTCTGCTAAACAAAAAAATTACATGTCTTAAAGAACATGTGAGAGATTACATTTCATGAGAAATGTAGTTCATGTCACATAATCAGCAAGGTCAAATTGTAAAATTACTAAAATTGTGCACCAATCTTCTAAATGAGTGCATATTTGGATTCCTTGATGAATTCCCTCTCCAACAATAGCTGTTTTGTGAAGACTGGCCCGGTAGTTCCTGAGATATATGGTTCAGAGATGGGCAGCCACGCACCTGTTTGCCCAACTAATTAAAATTCAGTGGGCCGTAACTCCCAAACCCTTGCTCAGATTGACCTCAAATTTGAGATTTAGTGCTGTGCCTTCACTATCAGCAAGTTTCAGTAAAATCAAAATCCGCTTGGTTCAACCCACTGGGCAATGTGGCATGGAATGACCCAGAAGGGGCAATCGAAGTTTCCGCTTGGAGCACAATACACCAATAGCTTTGTGTTCAACTAAAAACAGTAACAGATTACACGGCAAGTATGTAAATTTCCGAGCACATGCTGCACTTTTTCGAACATTTTTATTTGGTGGTGTGCTGTGAGACTCAAAGGATGGGAAACACTGTTTTGAAACAACAAGAGGCCATTGGCCATTTTAGCACGTCTTCACCTCACAGTGAGATTCCTGGGAGACAAATTTGGTGAGAGCAAGTTTTTCCATGGTGGCATCAGTCAGGATGGAAGGATACGGGGGCTCACGGCAACCATTCACCATGGCCGTCTTAAGAACAGACAAGAACCATCTGGAGGCAAAAGGTGTTGAGATTACCGTGGGCAGTCGGCATCGTTAAGAGACATGGAGACGTGTCAACACACACTCACAGAGTCAAGGAGGCATCAGCTGTGTCTAACAGGAACTTCCTTCTTCTATTAGTGCAAACTATGCTTACTGTCTGTTGATCAAGGCCCACCTAAAAACATGGCACCTTGTAAACACAGACAGAGCACTACACAACAGATGCTATAAAGACAAACAGAGATTTCTAGATAGGTAGATATAGCAACGTAGACAGCTAGATGCAGTAGACAGTTTATCTTTCAATTGAGTTGTATAGGTTATATAGGTCATATTAAAGGTGGGGAAAAGGGTTTTGAAATTATTTCTGTGTTCTCTGCACTGTAGACAAAAACAGATTGCGCTAGAAAGCCAAAGATAAGACAGGAACAGCTAGACAGGTAGACAGAAAGACATGGATAAGGCAGGGAAAAGATCTTACTGAGAGATAGTCCAGCTCATTATAAGAAACAGCATCTTCCACCGTGTAAGGCTTCTCTGCTGCACCTGTGCAGAATCATGAAACGTTGTACCACCCCTTAAAGGCGGAGCAGCAAAAGGTAGTACGCAGAACACCTCAGGGGTCACATACTTACTAGGTTTTTCCACACAAAATGTGGGTATTATTAGTACAAAGTGCAGCATATTCTTGCCGACTCACTGACCTTTCCTCAGCAGGTAGATATAACAGTCAGTCAGCAGCAGGTAAAGAGGCTGCAGGTCCCCTTCCATGTGGCCTGTACTCATCCTCACCATCTAAAAAGCGAGATGGAACGTTGTTACACAGACTGGACTGCATCGTTTACACATTGCAGTTTTGTAAACATCAGCAGCTGCATATGAACCAACAGCTCAAAAAAAATTCAAAAGAAAGCTATTTCAATACAGGTACAATCGGTATAGAATGTTGCTTTGCCTTTACTTCAGAATTTTTCAAGATACAAGCTGTCACAAGACCAATTTTTTTTGTCTTGAGATACAATTAAATTTAGAGAATCGGGTGCACATCTGACTCCCAGCACTACATGGCGGCAGCAAATTTTGCAACATTCAGCCAACATTAAATTATAGTATTTTGGTTTTGGTAGCTGGTTTAGCCATTAACATTGTTTGCCAACTGCTAAAGGAGCACACAAACCAAGTACACCACATTAGGTACAGTCATGTTTTGTGCTCCCAACTGATCACTATGGGGAGAACAGTTGTTTTTATACAGCGCAATAATTTTGAGTGCAATTTACTTACGGTAAGAAAAATCAAAAACATACATTTCTGGTGTTTTTGGTGGGCTGGAACAAAAAAATTTGCATTTCCCCATTTCCACATATTTGAATGGGTAAAGATGATTTGAGATATGAGTGTTTTCAGGAAGGAAAGTTGGACCTCAAGGCTGTATAAAATATAATAAGGTGATCACCCTGAAGAGTTGCTCCTCATTCTCTCTGAATACATGGATCATGAGGAGTAGTAAGTGGTTGTTGTCTACCCTAAAAGACAAAAAGTGGAATTGAAACACATGTTGCCAAATTAGGAAAAGCACCAAGAACAGATTGTGGTCTTACTTAAATTCAGCAGGATGAGAACTTTCGGAGGAACTAAGCTTCTCCTCTTGCACAGGAGTCATTTTACACACGTCCACATCAAATTCCTCCTCGTTTTTCACGTCAGGCTCCCCTCCTGCTGGCGCTTTTGCCTCCCTTTGATCTTCATGGCCACCTGAAAGTATCTTTGACTGGCAATGCTCTGTAGTGTCATGGTCCCCACCACCTGAGGCAGCAGAGTCTGGATTGTCGGGGGTAAGGCAGAGTACGTTTTGAGCGGCCTGCAGGTGGTCTGGACTTGAGTCTGAGTCAGGAGGCTCACCCCCGCAGTCCTCTCGAAAGGGCTGCTGGGCAGGAGGATCGGGACCCTCCTCGTACTTGGGCGGGTCCCAGACGTCCTCGTTAAGTCTGTCTATGACATCCCGGAGGGGTTCGCCAACACTATCCATGGAGGTGTCTGTCATTTTAGGAAGCCTTAGGAGGGCCTCCTCGCCGTCCTCATTGCTTTTCTCTGCCCCCTCTGTTCCCGCCCCGTCAAGGTGGATTACGGTGCAGTTCAAAGAATCGGAATCCTTTGTGTTTGCGAAGGTGCTGTCGATTTCGATGTGCTCAGATGATAAGAAGTTATGGATGCTGCTTATGGAATTCGTGGAGCTCTTCCCACGCCGTTTTTTGCTTACTTTCCTTCGTCTTGCCATCCTGGATGTCAAAAGGAAAAAGCTGTTCATTTCACTTTTTTCTCTATTTTTTTTCCTCTGCTGTAGGAATCAGCAGTAGAACAAGAGCTACTTTTACCAAAAACACTTTTTGACCCAAAAGTGGATGAAATCCTTTTGTTAAAAGAAGTGTGAAGCAGAACAGTGACTTTGAGGTTAATATTTTATGCAAAAGCTATACTGACCTCAAATCCAAAGCAAAGCAACCCTACCGTCTACTGGCATCTTTTTGTTATTACAGTTACATAGAAGCTAGAATTTCACAGACAAGCATTTAAGCACAATGTTAAGACTGAAACTGACAATATTAAAGATAGTTTTTAAAAATAAAACCTCTGCCATGTAAACACTTGGACCTACGACGCTACAGTATTTCAATGTTGGTACATTTTTTTGAGATGGTACTTGCTGTAAAAGTTTTGAGAATCACGAATGTAGACAAAAGTAAGAAAGTCAGCAATCTACTTTACCGAATGACTTCCAGCTCGTTGTTGGTGCTCACTGTGTCGTCTGTAGCACAAGCGATGTGACATCCGGCCACATGAACCGGCGTGACATCAGCTGAGGTGTTGGTGTCCGAGTCATGATTGAAAGGGTTGTGTCTGGAAGTTGGACTGGGCGGCGATAGCCGAGCGCCCACCTTCGCCTTGCCATTGGCGGCAGGTAAGACCACCAAGTCACTGATGACGGTCAGAGGATCAGAACCACTGGACCTCGGACAGCTGGCCTGGTCGGTCAGGTCACCTTCTTTTGTGGAAAGTGACATCAAGACAACTGAATTAGGACAAGAAGCATCTTGCATGTTTGCTTTCGGAGTTGTAGAAATACACAACATTTTGAAAATGCTCAGTGTTTTATCATGAATGTAGTCGTTATATAACATAATATTGTACCACTATGAGAACTACCAATTACACCGGTCAACACATTTTTACAATTTTTTAAAAACATTTTTTAAGAGATGCAAGTAAACTTTTCTAGATGATTTTGTAGCACACACGGCAAATTCCGTATTGCACAAGCCTTTATAGTTTCAACTCTAAAAGAAGAAATGAAAATTTTCTGTTGACCGGTGTTATCATTTTTCATCAGTAAACGCATTTTCACAGAAACAATTGTACATTTCTACATCCGCTCTCCACACAACACATGAGTTAGGGCTTGAGGCATTGTTGATGTTCATCAGCAGGCTCCAAAACATTTAAGACAATACAGTATAGGAAGCCATCAAGTAGTAGCAGACAGGAAGAAGTGGCGCAGGCCTAATCTGAGTCCCCACATATTCGCATTGAGCATTCACTGATTTGAGTTGAGCTTCAGTTAGCCAAAATTAGTCCTTCATAGACGCCTTGTGGCATATATAAGGAATTAAAGTGCAGTTTAAACTTTTTTTGGTGGGGGTGGGAGACAATTATAAGCGGAATTTGTGCTGTCATTGGAACCATAAAATCAGTCAAGCAAATTCAACGCATTTTGCCAATATAAAAAATACAACACGAAAGATATTTGTAATTATTGTTTTGCAGCTCGGTGAAAGAGTGGTTTACACATCTGTGTTTCAAGGTGTACAGTTTGTATGTTGCTCACTTTGCTAGCAAGGGTTTTGTCAGGGTATTCCAGTTTCCTCCCACTTTCCAAAAACATGCATGTTGGGTTCATTGAAGAAACTAAATTATCCACTATTCATAATTATGAATGCTTGTTTGTCAATGTGTGCCCTATCATTGGCTGGCTACCGTGACTCTCGCCCTGCGATAAGCTCCAGCTTGACGCTCAGGAGGATAAATGGTAAAGAAAATGCATGGATGGACATTTGTTAACTCCAACCTCAGATCAGATTCTCGGCCAGTGTCACATACAGTATCATACACCAAGAAGAAGCGTACGACAGACAGATTGGACAAGATGAGAACAGTGAAAACAGCCGCACTCGTCTCATTGTGCTCAAGAAAAAGGAGGATTAGAATGGCATCCCACATGAACTTCATGCATATGATAACAGATATAGGCAGAGCAATCAATTTAAGGTGCTGGATGATAAAAAAAAAAATAAAGAAGTCCGTTAAATCGTGTTTACAATAATAAAGCCTAATCGCATGTTCAAAGTTGAGGAAAGGTATAGTGTTGCCACAAGACATGAGTTTGATATGTTCCGTGACCACACTCTTAATTCATAACAACAGTGACGTCGCAAATCATCCATCCCCATTGAAATTAATGTAAATGCCATTAATACATTTGGGCCTCTCCCCTCACCCCCCAAAAATATGTTTGCTATGTGTTTTTAAACGAATTTCAAAAAACATTCTTTAACAGTGTACTTTATAAAAACATAATAAGAACATAAGTAAACAGAATTCAAACATGATTTAATGCATAAACTCAATTGTGCTTCTCCTTGGCCACGGGAGGCAGTTTAACACAGTCAGAGTCGACAATACTCTCAGTAAGCTGTTATTGGTCGGCGAATCTTGGTTGTTTTTTGTTTTTTTTGGGCAAAGGATAAAGAATGCTGCGCACCTTCAACTATTCAATTGATTTTTCAATTATTTTTTTATATTTTAAAATATTTTTTCCTTTCATTATTTGGTGGGAGGCACCCATGTTTTTTATGGAAAACAATTATTGTTTGTTCTCGCAAGTCAACGTAAAAGCGCACACTCTCACACACACACACACACACACACACACACACACACACACACACACACACACACACAATAATGGCCCAAAGATGGCTTTTATCTGATAAAAAGATGTGAGCCATTCATATCTTACAGCACCACTGTAGTCATTAAAACAAATGAATATTTTGCAAAGATCAATGATAGCATTTGTTTCACTCTGACGTGTAGCCCTCATTTTATGACTAAAATTGTTCAAGATATTGAGCCATACAACAAATGTATTTTCACCTAGCTACAATTACTGTGTACACACTGTGCTATCTTGCAATGTTTATCAAAGGAGTGCAGCAACTCCTTATGCTGAAGGCCATTAGCAAGTCATTTCTAGTGATCAAATGCACTCACGCTACTCAAGAGACCAGTGAATGTGCCTCCAGAAGAATTACACTTCAGTAAGAAAAATGTTGGTTTCCCACAAGAAAAACTAATTTTGCCTATTATCATGGCAAAGCTGCGCACACAACATACATTATGCAAAACAGCGGAAAAGGAAGGACGTGGATTGGCAAGGAGGAAAGGTTTAACCAATGTCCCACCTTCCCAGTCTGCACTTGGCATTGCCTGCAACACGGGGAAGTTGTCACCGAAATCATAATCTAAAAAAGGAGGGATAACATGAAAAATTAGAGAGAGCTTCATACAAATAGAAAATAATATGAATTATGGCATGCGAAAAAAAAAGTGAATCAATGGAGGGAGAGTAAAAAGAAAAGTGGGAAGTCTAACTGTAGACTTCTACATTGTGAACAAGTGTGATGTGTCTATCCGTGATGCTTGTCACTTTCTCTTCACGAGTCCTAACAGCAAATCTCAAAAGGGAAATTCAAGATGCGCATTACACTTCCATGAATACACAGATAACGTTCAGCTCACCTTCACTTGAGGGTGCGATTGCACTGTCATCCCACTCCAGGTTGGTGGAGTTCAGGGAGGTGAAGGAGTTCAGGGATAAACTGTCCAAGCTGGGCAGCCTTTCCTCAAAGTCCAGCAGGTTGTGCGGTTTGTAGTATTCTGGCATGTAGGCGGCCACATCCAAATAGGGCACATCCTGGAGCATCACATGGGCAAGTCAGAGACACGTCACAGGTTCATTTGGGAAGGAAAGCGTAAAAGAGATGCGGACCAGTTCCAGATCAAAACGAATGAACTCCAATCCGGCAACCAGCGTGAGGAAGAGGGTCAGGTGGTCATGGCTGCAGACCAGTGCATTCCTACAACAAAAAACAAATACGATGCACCGATCTTAGCTTCCATCACATTTGAACACGCTGTAACTTCTTATTTGTTGTCACTCAGTCATGCAGGAGTCGAAGAAGACTTATGAAGTGGGACACGAAACACACACACACACACACACACACACACACACACACACACACACACACACAAAAGACAGTGTCTGGTTGCAATGGCAACTTCAACATGAGTACATCACACCAAGAATTTTGAAAATCTGATGAAGGGTTTCAGGATATCGAGTTTGTTGTGTGTCTTGTTTGTGATATTCTCCTTGACCCTTTTGTTTCATTTGTTACTCAGAGAAAAATGGCATTTTCAAATGCAACTACAGTATTTGCCCAACACTGCCAAAAAGGCCTGGATAAAAAAAAAAATTTTAAAAAAAGTACGGCACAAAATGTCCCATGGATGCCTTCAGGGGTTAAATGACTTACTTGAAGTAGTACTTCTGCAGCAGTCCTTGGTTCTCTTGGAAGAGGCGGAGGTAGCTTTCTAAAGAGCTCTCGCTCAACGCCAAGTATAACCATGCCCGACCTAGTGGCACAATTACCATAAGGCAGGGTTCGCGAAGAGCACACACGAGTGCATGTGAGGATGCAAGTCACACTCACTTCGACCCAGGTTAGTTGCTATGTGCTGAAGTTCCTCGATCTGGCGGACAGCCTCTTTCCTTGTGAAATGAAGGACAAGAACCCAGTAGCCTGAAGAGATATCCTGCAGCCTGCAGTGGAGAAAACATCATGTTCAAATGCCTGGTGACACATTGGTGGAAGGTGATCATTCATAGAGAGATGACAACTTTTCTTACCCGTACAAGAGCGCATGGTCAAGGTGCTCACAGAGCCGCTGCAGAACCCGGTCGTGGTTCCTGATGGCTGGAGTCTCATCTTCACATGCTGCAAAGTAACTCTGCAACTGTAGAAACACAACACGATGACACTCAAAGTGTTATTTTTCATATTGAGAGTTTATCAAAACTTGGGTATAAAAGGAAGTAGAATTGATCTCTATTGGGAGACAAAACTCATTTTTGTGATATTTAGGCAGCGATGCAGCTAGAATGCAACGAAAAGTTAATATAACTTGTAATAAATGGTGTCTCGGTTTGACGTTTCAGTCTAGATCGCCTAGACTTGGGTTTTAATGCAACTTTTTAAATGGGTTACAGTTGGCAAGGACGACGGAACAAACATTGGCACAAACCATGAAACTAATTTGTATGTGAAAGTCCTCAATCTATTTGTGAAGACCAAAGGGAAGGCAAAACATCTTTGACAGAAGTAAAGATAAGCGGTGGAAAGTCTGTCAGACTCAGTATTGATCAGAGGCAGTGTTGTGCCTGGACGAATTCACGAAAGTTCATGGACTCATTCATATTTTGAACAAACATGAACTGGTGGTCGCCTGATGATTTGCAATGCTGTCAATGTTTTGGTTTAACTGCCTTTGGTTTTGTATGACTAATTGTTGCTTTATGTGCAGCACTTTGTGTGCAGTGGTGGTTATTTTAAAGTGCTCTATAAATAAGTATATATAGTTGAGTTCAGTGTTAGGCAGATAGAGGGAAGAAGAGGTAGCGGAAGTGGCAGCTATATTTCCTACACAGGATTTTATTTGTACTTACACATTAAGAACTACACTGTAGTTTTCATTTTAATTTATTAAATCAATAAATAAAAAAAAGATCAATTAAGCAACAAGCTCTTTGTTTCTGAGACTGCAAAGTGAAAGTTGCAGTTGGCTACGAGGTGAACCGAATGGGTAGCAACGATGGGAAATGCCATTTTGGGGTTAATAGATTGCAGCAACATATTTAAATTTTAAAACAACAAACTATGAAGTTTTTGTTTTTGAAACAGTTGATTTTGTTCAAACATTGAATCATGATCTATGAACTGAACTACCTAATTTTAAGATTTGTGAACTGAACTACCGGTAGTTTGCATAGAAATTGAACTTTCCCAACACTGACCGAAGGCTTTATTCTCAGATTGAGGGGGTACATTACTGGACATGATGTACTTACAGAATAGAACTCGGATGTGCAGTGAGTAATGTTAAGACGAGCTAGTGATGGGATAATGGCCTGCACAAAACATTGAAGAATATACAGTGAATAAATATGGTTGAAGGAGGCTAAGTGTGTCCAACATAGCCAACACAAAGCTGTTGTTTCATCCATCTCCCTTCTTCACAAGTCATGAGAACAAGGAGAAAACACAGTGCAATTATATTCACTTTCACAGTGTGCTGCATTGTGTTGGCAATTCTCAATAGGGCACATCGACTGAAGATCGATGACCACATTTGAGGATTTCACGTGAGTGACAAGTAAGACTACTGTGCTCTTAAATTGACAACATATTCAAGCTTCATAGCAACGGTGTTTTTGTTCTGTTTATGCAACAAAGTCAACTGGACATTCACTAAGCCTCAATATTTTTTTACAAATTCTGCCTTAACAAAGAAAATGTATCAGCCGTTTCTATTGCAGCTGTTGTGGTACATGTACAATACTGTGTTGCGCTGTGCTGCATAAATCAACCGTGTTTCAAATGTATCAAATGCATACCTGTAGCCATAGACACACATTGGTTCCAAAGCAGGAAACGTAGATAAATGTCTGTGACTCGATGACCATATAAATATGTGACAGGCATCATGTTTCGCCGCATTATAACGCTTACCAACCTCTCTTAGCTTGTGTTCCACCATACCTTTTTATCATACCATGAGTACCCACTCACACCTGCTATGTATTGATGAATGATGATTTTTCAAAAGTAGAATGCAACACAACTGACTATGAAAATGAAAATTATTTTATTTCATTGAAACAACTATTGAAATAAATCAAATGTAAATACTATGTTGCCTTGGAAATAAATATACTGTAGATTAAAAATGAATCAAAATAAAGAAAAAAGTGCATTTGTTGTATAAAACATTTACCGCACACAAAACAAACAAACTGGAGCGCCTTTGAATCCATCCATCCATTTTCAACACCGCTTATCCTTTGCTGGAGCCTATCAACCAGAAGGCAGACTACACCCTGAACTGGTCATCAGTCAGTCATAGGCCACATACAGAGACAAATGACCATTCACACCCACATCCACACAGTCCTTGAGTGGGAACCGATCCCACGCTATCCGCACATAAGTCAGGCGAGTGTCCCACTACACTATCACCAACTTCTACTTTGAATAAATCCGTTTTAATTTTAAAGCTTTAAAACTTTCAATATCAAATTCATCATCAAGGACAAAAACAGACCCATTGTAGCATTGTTTACTTTTTTTCTCATCAGTCATCTGAGCCTTAATGAGACACTTTAAGGTGAAACGCGGCTGTTGTGATTTTGGAGCGGTTGTGTCACGGTTTATTGATTTGAGAAATGATTTATTTTTACAGGTTTCCACATACTTCCTGCAATATGCTCAGGTTCCCAACCAGAGAAACGTTGCCTGTGTGCCGCAGTGCCTCGATGCGGTCATCGTAACTTACTGGAACATGATGTCTACGTATTGTTGATTTTGAGATGACAATAAGTCAGCGAGTGTCAACATTAGCCAAATGATTCCGGATGGGCGCAAGCCTGTTTCCCAGGTTGCATCCAATAGCTTACCAAACGTTGGCGCGTTAAAAGAAAACGCGTAATGTACGCGTAATGGTCTCTCACCTTCTTGACCGACAAGGAGATGTTTTCCAGAATACGGTCCTTGACTTTGAGTTGATCCATCGCGCGCGGTTCTCTTGTTGACAACAGCAGCGGCAGCAGACTGAAGCCTGTCAGCTGACTCGAGCTGGCCCCACGCGCTGCTAGTTTTGCTAAAGCTAATGGCGCCTTAGCTCGCTAACTTGCCGGTTCCAACTTTGGGCAACACATTTACCAAAATCTCCAAGAAACACATTACGTATTTTCGGTTTCGTTAAAACGCTCAGTCAAGCCGACGAGCTTTATAATACTATAATGATTTCGTTCTACGATATATAGCTAAAAAGACACTTAGAGCTAAAGACACTTAAGCGAGAAAAACACACGGATAACCACTAACGTCAGTAAATTCGACTTATTAGCATTTTCTCAAGCAGTTACTTTTATGCATACTGTTCGTCTAATTTTCATTCTCGGCTCGGGCGGCTAATTTATGCTAACTTTCTGCACTACACGGTGAATGCTGCATTCGACTAAGATGGGAAGTCAGACTTCCCACTCGGATTGATCCAGTTCCTACCTCAAACCGTTCGAGGCGAATGTAAACAAAGATGGCTGATTCCGATAAATTGTTTGTTGTTCCGGGTCATCACTACACATTTTGACCTCCAGCAAACATTTTTCATAATTTCCTTCATTTGAATAAAATTTCTCCAAATAACTACTTGCATGGAGACAACGGCATATCTCCACCCAGTCATTACTAATCACATTGTGTTACACTAATTTATTCGAAATAACGTAACGTAAAAATTGTCATGTTTATAATCTTGTAAATTATATTTTGCTATTCAGTCGGTCCTTTTTCCGTTTTCACATCCATGACGTCCCTGTTCATATGGGTGTTCGAATGCACCTTTCCTTGTCGGGATCGGAAAATTCCGATTTACGACAGTTCTCGAATGCAGCACAACTACAGTATTGCATTGCATGTCTCAGGAAATGCTACGACACTGTGCAAGTCAAAACCCCCTCGGAAAAACATCGCCTTCAAAATAATAGCATGTTTTTCACAACTATTTTCGAACTTACTGTCCCTGTATCATTTTTTTCTTTTATCTATTTCAAGTCATCCAGGTCAAGGTAATCGGCAAAGGTTGAATCGACACCCGATAAGTCACTATTACTCAGGCAAATATGCTATTGAACAATATGCCAGAAATGTTTTCAGATTGAACGTATTTCATTGCAAGTCATCAATTTCTTACTTTTAAAAGACTCCGTTCTAAATTAGATTAAGGAAAAACAATACCGTACATTGTTTAATGGTGCGTCTATAGGAAGCACTTGCTATATGCAAGAGTTGCAATTTAGGCTGCTTCACCACAACGCCATTGGCATCCTACACATTCGGGCTGAGAAGAACATCGCTGTGCTGGAGGAACTTCGCTCCTCACATCACAACCTGCCTCCTGTGACCCCACCACGCCTCCCTTTCCCAAGCTCAAGGGTGCAATCAAGGGGGCCCGTTCCGAAACCATGTATGACATTACAATGGCAAGAGACTGATAATTCTCAAAAATCCTTCCATGAGTGCATGACACCATGGCAGAGAAGGCTGAGAATAAGCATTAGACTGGTGTTTGGTCCCTGAATCAAAAAATAAATTTCAAAGTACCTCAACTTCTTTTCCTTTCTATGACTCTTGCAGTCTCTTGGTATCCATCCCTATTGCAAACTGCTGATTAAACTGACATTCTGAGCAAGCACAAACTAGAAGCGCTGGACATTAAAAAGATCAAACCAAGTTGACAAGTAAAGGTCTTGAAATATTACCTGAAAACAGAAATTTCACCCTAAAGAGGAATGTCCAACATTGTTCTGTCAATGACATTTAAAAGTATTGAATATTTTTTGGAAAAAAAAAAAAAAGATGATTTAGTCATGCTGTGCATCGTTTAAACTGTAACATGTTGCAAAATCAGACAAAAACAATCTTCGTTGTACCGTTCCATGTGGAATATCAGTATTTTATTGTTTAAAAAAAAAAAAGGCGTTAGACAAATTACCAGTTGGCATCTTTTTGTTCAGTGCATGTGTCCACCACATTGTGAAAGGGTCAATTACCTTACACAGAAAATGTTTCACAACCAAATATAAAGTAACATGAACAGATTTCAGATTTTTCACAGGCCTTGAAGTGTAAAAGAAAGCCCAAACACCTGCATTAAAGCATCCACCAGCCACTTACTTGAGTGTCAACAAACAGATTCAAATTTCAAGTTGCTTTTAAAGTTCACTGGTGTCATTTATCGTTTCCTCCATTCCTCCCAAATTAGTCAGACTTTTCCTTTTCCTTCATGTGCAGGAAGACAACGCTGAAGACAAAGAGTCCTGACATCATGGAGAAGACACTGGCGTAGTACGGAAAGGCCGAGGGGATGAAGCGCTCATATTGCGTGTGCTGCAGGGGACGCACTGACACCTATGGTGACAAACACAATAGCAGTGGATGGATATATGATGAATTTATTTATTCCCTTTCCTAAAAGTCACAAGAAGCCGATTTTTAAAGAGGAACTAGCCTGAGTGGAGGAGTACAGATGCGTGTATCCCAGTCGGTTGTAGTCCACCTTGAATTGGAAAACTCCATACACATCGGGCAACTTGAACTGGACGCTGTATTCCCCATCTTCGAATAAATTAAAATATTCCATTGGTATACTGTACGTTAAGATTTGAAGCGGATAATAGCAACGATGGCGCTTGACTCCATACCATGTTTCTTAAGGTAAGTCCTGACGAAGGGGTCGATTCTCACAAACTCCAGCTGAATATCGTCACCATCAAAAGGAATCCAGCGACCCTCAGACAGCATCTCGATGACAATGCTGTATTCCTGCATATATTTTCCATTAAAATTAGAGAACTGCCACTTTACACCCCCCACTTTTTTTTTTTTAATTTAAAGTTTTGAACGTTGTCCACTGTGAAACTCACCACAAGGTCGGTGACGGTGTATGCTGCGGGAGGTGTGTCCTCTCCCACAGGATGATGCCTAACTTCACCCACCCGGAGGACGCCAGCCTCTTTAAACACCCAGCGAGACAGAGCCTCAGCCAGTTCCATGTTGCCCGTCTGCTCGTGTCTAGAAGGAACGAGAACATTATAATTTGACGAAAGAATAACACGGTGCGTTGCTCTAGCACATCTGGAGGGTCGCAACCGTGACCAGGAGATATTACAATGAAACGGGACTGACAGCTGAGATCCAGGTGCAGCTTTCTGAACATCAGAGGTGAAGAAGGCATCACTAAAGAAGTCCAGCGAGCCACTGAAAACCACTCTGGCGTTGTTTCTGGCCTGCAGGCCAGCGATCAGCAGGGTGTTCTTGCCCACAGCGTGGGGATACTGGAGAAAAGAGCACTAATTAGTCAATCAATTCACTTCATAGCAAGAAGGAAAACTAATAACATCCATACACGGCTGCTGCATTATATTGCATTGTTACCTGAGAAATGGGTCTGTCAGGGAAAAATGAATAGGCCGCTGATGAGCCAGTGAGGATGTCAAGAACAAGAGGGTTGTCAGGGTCAGCCACCATGCTGAAAAGGGATCGACATGGCATGTTAGTGACATTCATCACTACATGTAACATGCAACACAGAATTTGCTACGCTTTGATTACTATTCGTGCATGTGACACACCATAACGTAGGTGGAACAGACAATTAACCTGTGGCCTCCTGACAACAATAATAGCTTCGTGGCAAATTAAAAAGGCTCAGATTTTCTGATTAAACTGAACAAGATGGCCCTTTCAACCTTACTTACCCAACACCCTTAAACAGCACAGGTTTATTGGCGTCTTTACCAACAATGGTTGGAGCTTTCAGCAGGTTCTCTGGGTCAGCAACAATCAATGTGTGCTGCAGGCAAAAAAGATAACCTTGTGAATAACAATGGGTCGGGCCATGGCATTGGTAAAATTCGATTACCTCTCCGGGATCAGACTTGTCGTAGTTGTGATGGTCAATGACAGCCGTCCCCTCCTCATCAAACTCAATGCCACACTCACTCCCCAGCTCCCTTAGCGGGTCACCTGATTAAAAAAGTGGGGAAAAAAATAACATTCAAACATTTTACATAATATTTTACCTAAGCCAGAGCAGGCAATAGTCAACTTACCTATATCAGAACTGGCAGCAACCAAGACATTTCCTCCTCCATCAATGAATGAGGTAATGGTCTCCACATTGATATTTCCTCCAAAGTCTGTAGGTGGCAAAGAGAATACTTTGGAATATAGAAGTCAAATGTGACAGAGAGATATTAAGAAATAAAAGTGCAAAGAGCGTACCTTCAACAGACGGTGAAAAGATGATGAGATGGTCATACAGGAATTGGCCATATTTGATCAGAGAAAGTGAAGGGTCATCGGCAGTCTTGAATGTAAGATCAAAGCCACGATCTGAAAAGTTAAGTGTGGGAAAACATCAACATTAAAGCAATTGTACAGTCAAATGACCTTATCAAAGAACCTAGACAGTCACTTAATTACACAACCACACCAGCTACATTTCACAGTCAGATACAGTACCTGAAAAATTAATGCTGGGTAACATCTACATTAGAAGGAATATATTGTCACATAAATCAAATGATTAAACAGAAAACACTGTCAGAATACAGTACCAGGAAAGCAACTACATTATAAAGATTACATAGTCACGAACGAACTGTATCGTCAAATAACTGCAATGCAGACAGTGCTCAATCACATAAATTGGCAGAAAAGTCGATACTAAATCATGACAGCATGAAATAGACCCCACAGTCAAATGAAACAGAGTCTACAGACACAAAAATTACACTGACACTGCAACACAATTACAATAAACAAGACTACATGGGCACATGGCAACAACAGTGCACAACACTTCCACACAAAGTCAATTTAGTTCAACATTCACAATCACATCTGACAACCAATAATGTCACAACTACTACTGTTATTATTTAAACTGATTTGTTGGCAAATACTGGTAAGGAAATTAATTACACAATACATGTCTTAAATGAGAGATGCAAGAAAACTTGTCACAGTAATAATAATTCAAATTATCATAACAATACTGTAATATACAATGTAAGACAGGGCTAGGTCTGGCAATGTGTATTTTTCTGAAACGTCACATCTCTAAGTGACTACGCATGGTAAAATCCATATTGCGTAGGCTTTTACGGATCAAGCTTAAAAAAATGAAAACATCTCATCGCTCTGTCTATACTTACTTTTTTTTTAATAATCTTTATTGAACAAGTCAGAATACAATTCTCAGTAAACAGAAAACAAAACGAACATGTTTTTAATACATACACTGTCTATACTTACTGAAAAGTAGCTGTCGCTCATCCTGTACGTCAAAATTATGCGCCGCCAAAAATGACGTACTTAATGCGCGCCAGCGTACACAACGGTTTCATTTGGCTGATCATTGTAGTCTAAAGTCCACTTAATAACGCCCCCAAAAATAATGATTTTGGAGAACAAAATTAATCAAATTTCTGTTCGTGGTGTGATATAATATTGCCCACCACACAGAACTGCTTGAGATGCGGAGCTAGG